CTGCTGAACAGAAAAATGCATTTCATAGATGCCCCAAAAGAGAGCAGGTAAAAGCTATGAGATCCAAAATAGAGTCCTCAAGAGAAAACAAGCCTCTCTTCATTGTGACCATTTTGGTCCCATGGAAAAGTCTTTGTCGTCGCTGTTGTTTCTCTCCTGTCGACCTCTGTTAGCCTTCAAGGCTCTAGCATCATTAAGGCTTCCTTCAGACAAGACGGCTTCTGCTCTATGCCCACATGCGGGTTTGTTTGCAGCCCTGCACAGCCTCTCATATGACCTCTGACTGTTGTCCAATGCAAAACTGGGCTCTTATGTCAGCTGATACTCCAGTTGTTTTAAAACAAAAAGAGAAACAGAAAGAAAAACTACCACCTGTTCCCAGCCACAGTTCCAGTCTGACAAACAGGCTAGAAGCCCTAGTTGAAGCGACCTTCAAGTTAGACTCCTGGAGTCAGCCCCTCTCTTCACAACACCATCACTGTCTCCCCAGGGAAACAGCTTCTGAAAGTGGGCTAGTGTGAAACAGTGCCTGAGCGCAGAGGTTCACCCCCCATGCCAAATTCTGCTTTGAGCAACACTGATGCACTTCCAGAGTCACCTCCAAGCAGATGAAGGTCTTCCTCTTGTGCTGCACTTGGATCCAGCGAGCAGGAGCCTGCTAGTTTACAAGGATGTTTTCTCCGTGTGCTGAAGTTCTACTCAATAAGCTAATGACTGGATGCTCACACTGGACATTAATTGGAGGAGGTTTTGTCATTCGTACTACTGAACGGAACAGCTTTCCCATACAGGAAGGTCTCTGGCTGCTGTTGAAGAGATAGCTGTTCGGTAACCCCAAGAGACCAGGCCCCATTGCAGCTGCGAGCTGGTATGCTCAGCCCAACAACCCTGCAGTGCAAAGAGTACGCCAGGCCACACGAGGACACCTGTTGTGGGGACTCCACCACTGTGACCAGTTCTAGGTTTTATGCCACAGAGAAGCACAGCAGAAAACCCAAGCTCTGATCTCATTAAATGCCCAAAGGCATCTTCCAAGCTGAAGTCTAACACTGATAACCGTTCTGTGTCCTAGACCTAGGCAGATACTGTGTTTTAATATCCCGTTAAGCTGTTTTGCACTCCTAGGCCTATTAATAGTGCTGTTAACAGCCTGCCCTTCCATTTCAGACCCAACTGCCTGTCCATGAGGGGTGTCCCAGTAATCATCAGAAATGCCTTTCTAGATCAGACGAGTGGTCAGTCTAGCCCAGTATCTGTTTCCAACAGTAGCGCTTTATCTGACAATCTATTTAGAGACTGCAGATCTGGTCCTACAGCACAGTGCAGATGGGAGACAAGATAATTTATTGTTTATAATCTCCTTAAGATTTCTGGCTAAGTTAGGCAGCCATGGTGGTAAGAGGTTACTGTAGCTACTGTATTTTGCCTGCTGTCCCCACATGGCCTTCTACCTACTTACTTCACCAGCAAGGTGCTGGTGTCTTGGGAGACCCTCCTAGTAGAAACAGTAATGGCTATCTTCCCTAAGAAGTTTCATGTTCCCTTCGTACCCTGGGAGCAAGCCCTCTGTGACGGGGAGATGGAGCCGCATTGCGCATTTCACTCTGAACACTGTGAGGTTGGAGCCTGCTTGTCATAGCGGGGCGTCCAGGATATAGGTCTCACTCCCAGGAAACTGACTGCTGCAGGGCAAAGTACTTTTTGCAAGAAGTCACAGGCAAAGGGGGCGAGGTGATTTTTCAGGGAACTTGGTCTAGTCCCAGCTCAGGTCTGTTAATCACACTGGAATCCGGATGTGTCAACCTACCAGCACGGAACAAAGCCTGGAGGCAATATTCCTGCAAGCTCTTCCAGTTCACAACACTCAGCAGCTGTAACCAAGCCTGGAGACAGGGAATCTGTGACGCGCTTTGCACCCACACCAGGCTACGTCTGACACAACAGGATCTACCCTCACGATCCGACCCTGCTATTACTGTGGAGCCCAGACAGCCCAGAGCTGCTGACTGCACAAATGATGAGACCAGTAACCTCTTAGCGTGGACAATGTCATACAGGGAGCAGGTTCTTTTGGGAGCTTCCCTCTTCCTACCACTGCTCTCAGCAATGTGCAGGTGCCACACGTGCTGCCGATCCTACACAACTGGTGTTTCTGGGACGCCCCAAGAAGGGTGATGGCTGCATGGTCAGAGTTCAATGTCAAGGACGGGAAGGCTGTCTGCAAGCAGGTATTGCCTCACTCCATATTATATGCCTGATACTCCAAGGTGTTTCACGCCAAAGCTGTATAACTTTGGAGAAAAAAAAATTGATCCTTCTGGACCTCTTCAGGCAGCAGGTTTGGAGGGTAGAGATGCTTACCCACAGTGACCCATGGCTTTAATTGCCTTGTCTCCCAAGCTGGCTTGGAAAATGGCATTTGTTTTAACTCAGGAAGGTAAGCAAAGCCATTTGCAGGACCATTGCAGATGCTCTCTGAGCTTGAATCTAACCAAGTCAGCGCTTAAGGGTGTCTGAATCCCCCTTCAGGAGATCCCTGAAGTGAATGGCTGGTCTGGACTGAGTTATATTCTGAGAGGCACAGCAGAAAGGCCATTCGGTGAGTCACCAAACACCTCAGAGCAGGGATGGGGAACCTGGTCCTGAATCTCCTTCCTCCTTAGAAGCACGGGGCTCTCCCTGCTGCAGTTTTTGCTCCTCAGCTCTCCCCACTTTTGGGCCTTAAGTGTTTGAGAAGGATGAGTTCTCTGAGCCAACGAGCTGCTTGACTAACAGTTTGGAGCTAGAACAGTTCGTGTGCGTGTGTGCACACGCATTTCAGACTTGTCTGTATCATCCTCGCAGTTCCCTCAATGGAGCAGTCCTCCCCTTCCCCCCCAGAGGAGACTGGCTTTGGCTCAGAGTGTGCTCTGAGATCACCACCTGGCACAGGGACAAAGTCATGGGAAAGCTGAACATCAGCCACTTCTGAAGACACGGGGCCAAATTCAGCCCTGGTGTAAGCGCTGAAACTCCCCACGTTTCAAAAGGAGTGCGTCTCTCGACACCACGGCCTGTCTGGAGACAGTCTCTCCCCGTGTCACCCCGTTCCAAAGTTCCCTGCTTCTCTGGGTAGTGGCACCTATGCTGCCTGCTCCCACGAATTCAGTCTCGGCACTATTTAGTCTTTTGAACCCGCTGCTCAGCACCTTGCCCCAGTGTCCTACGGGGACATGGGACAGGTTCATTCATTTCCACAGGAATTTCCCCCAACCCACAGTCCCTCCTCGCTGCTCCTTCTCATGCACCACATGTCGTCATTCCTCTTTCCCCTCCACTTTATCCAAATCCAGCCCTCTCACTTCAGTTCCCGCTGTTGTGCTTTCCCAGTTTCCTTCCCCCATACACACCATTTCATAGCATGGCTATACTATTTTGCACAGACACTTGGTTTCCCCAAATATTTTTTAGAATTTCACAAACAATACTACAGTAGGTCAAAAATGTTGAAATACGGGTAAGCTGCTATACCCTGTGCACTTTCTGTTCCTCGAGTCTTGGTGTCTGCTGAGCGAAGAGCTAATCATATAACCATATGGAGTGCAGTCTGCTAGAGATTAAGTGAAATTTGTTGCATTACCACATTGTAGCTCTTATTCCAGCTCATCGTATGTCAAGATTAACATAAGCCTGGCAGAGCAACTGTATTCTGAGGCTGCCTGCACCAAGTCACAGCTCCTCCCCGGAACTGCTGGCGTTCAAACCACGTCCCCAAGACTGCACTGCATCACAGGAGGGCACCCTGGCTGGGGGTATGCTGCGTGCCTACCAACATCTTCCAGTCCTATGGAATCCTAAGCACAGACCGAAAGGATTGCTCGTGCCTACACGTGCTCAGCATCTGCAGTCTCTTTGGGGTTCACGTCTGCTCAGTCTCTGTCTTTGCATCTGCATCTGCTCAGCTTCTGCACCTGAATCTGTTTAGTGTCTGCATCTGGGCCTGCTCATCATCTGCTCCGCACCTGCTCCGCATCTGTCATGTTTCCTCCAGGCCCGTGTCCCCTCTGGGGGGGTCTCTTTCACATCACCGCCTGCTTTGCACCTGCTCGGCATCCCCGTTACCTTCCACTCGCTCTCCGAACCCCCACGATACGCGGGCAGCACTCTCGACGGTGTCCCCCGGACAGCAGGCTCTTCAGGCAGCAGGCTCTCCAGCCGGTGCCTCCCGG